CGTAACATAAAATAAATCCTAATCACTGCATAATAATGCATGTTTTTGAATGTGTAGAAATATTTATAAAAATGATCAGTCACTGAAAATAATTTAAAGACCGGAAATAAAGTTGTATACAGATGTGCATCTCCTCTACGTTGGTGTAACTAAAATGGAATTAATCGAATTAGGAAGTGGCAATTTAATTTCGCTTGCATGAACCAAAACCCTCAAGGCTATACGTGTCTAATGAATCGATAACCATTGGGCGCTTCATAGTTGATTTTGTAATCGTTTTACGAAAATTAGTCATTATTAATATATAAATATATAAAGTTTTTTTTCAAGTTCGAAAAAAAAATATGTTATATATTTGAAAATAAAATATGTTATATATCTTATTTCTTACTGGTTAAAGTCTCGTATGTATTTTTGCTTCTGACGAAACGACTAAACAAACGTAAAATTCCCCAAAACGCTGAAAGCGAAACGTAGATATGTGGAAAATACGATTTTATTGTTGTTATTGCTCCACCAAGACGAACGGCCACTTCAAGACGGTTTTAATAATCGTCGTTTGTGCTCGTCTCGTGAAAGAAGTTCATTAAGAGTTCATCAAGGCATTGGTGCAGAAATAAAAGTTTGTATATGGTAAACAAACGTATGGTTTTTCCTGGATACATTATTCAAGTATAACAGGTGACTGCCGTAAATAATTGGGGTGATAAGAAAACTACATGCTCATGTCTAGCAAGAAGAGAATATAAAAATTTCATTCATTACGATATTCAGCTATAAGATATGCATGTAATAACTATATTGGAAAATAATGAGTGAGTGTACTTCCAATGAAAGATTAAAAACACGTTAAAGTAAATGTTATAGAGCGGAAACACAAACAAAAATAGTCAAATAACTGAAATTTAAATCAAAGTCTTGCCGTAAACGATTATTGAGATACAAAGAATTCGAACTTTGGCCAACACATCGTAATAAAGTACAGTAGCAGTTTTGTAAACAAAAATACTATTGATATTTGCAGTAATTCACAATGTTTCATCCCGTTGCAATTTATTTCCTCATTATATCATGGAAATATAAATATATTATACCTATTGCTAAGATTTTCTATATATGGTGGCTTATCACGTCAGACTTCTGAGAATGGCGTCGCCGCGGGAATCTTTTCTGTCCTTTCTGTGACCCTTTGTGTACAATTGCATCCGTGGCGATTTTGTTATTATTATCGTAACGACGCATTGTTTTCACAACGCGGTAAATCTTTCATGACGCGTTACATGGGGTGAAGAAAGTTTATGATATCTGGACAATGAGTCTTTGATTATGCCTGGGATATCGATAAAACGGGCCACAAATTGCGCGATTTATTAACATTACAAGCATGTGCAGTATTGGAAAGTATTTTCTTGCTTGACTGGTCAATCGGAAGGTGTAATAACACGAGTTTAGCTAATTCGACAAATCCTCTTTGGTTGAGGGGAAAGATAGAAAAGAGCTAATTCTTAAAGAATGACTATGTATTCCAAATTAATTTATATAATGCCGATAGCCTCTTCGAATTATAGTTTCCCAACGGAATGACTTTTTACGATTTACGAATCATTCGATCGTAATTTTGTACCGCAGATGACAGTTATTCAACTAATTAATATAACTCAGAATTTTACATATAACTTTATTTTTACTTTTGTTCATAATCGCGATATTTCCATCTAATACATACATAACATGTACGAACATACGCACAGATATCCATCAAATCCATATAGACAGAGTTAAGAGAAAAAATTATTTATGAACATAATACCGGCAAAAATCAGAAATGTACATACGCTACTATACTTATTTCCAATGACGTGTGAAAGCATCTTGAAACACTTACTGATTTTCAATAAAAATCGTTTAATCATCTTCGTGATTAGAACAAAAACAAATAAAGATACACTTTTAAATGAACAGCATCTGCTTCATAGAATAAAATGCCATTTTCTGAATTAATTTTCGCACGCCGTAGAATGATCGAATAACGTTTTTAAGACTATGAGTTTAAGAGATTAGCATCATTTATCCTCATTTAGGTTGCCATATTATTATGAAAAATTGCCACCGTTTCCGAATGGATTTACACCACCGCGGTGTTAAGTTACTTTTGCGGTAAATAAATAGTTTCAAAACCAAATGAAAAACTCGAAGTACGAATAAATCAACATGGTATAAATATACGGGAAATTAAATAACTTGCTGTCATGTCCATACCTGGCAGGTGGGAAGGTAGTATGCACAAATTAGCAAAAATTGAAGTAAGTGCGTACATATGATTCTTAAGTCGATGTTGTTAATTATGTTACGTTGGACACAAAGATAGCTCATGATTTGTTTGTCTGTTTTTTGGGCCACAATATTAACTCTTGATGCAAATAGCAATGAGTACCTGATGCAGTAAATATTATTACGTATTTTCAAACGAGAAAATAGCAAATTGATGATACACCTACGTAAATAAATACTACAATTAATTTTCTCGTGTTTCTCGACCGCGTGGCGCAGTATTGTAGTCTCTTGTCTGCCGAAACGAAAACATTAGGATTTACAAACGCAACAATACAATCATAAATTTGTGAGAGTTTTAACCAAAGGTAATCCAACTTTACGATAACACTTTTTTCAGATGAGAGAACTCAATCTAATATGACTTGATGATAAACCCCATATATAATTCGTCGAGTTAGGGTATCCTATTTCGGTCATCAAAAGGACACTGTAGCGATAATTTAAAATCTTTGATTACGGATCCTCAAAATTATTTTTGGTAGGAAAAATGGTAAATATTTCTCTTTTTTTACGTTACTATGGTAACTTTCTGCTTCGGATCTAGGTTCTTATTGTCACCGAAGAGTTTGAGATCATTACTCATGCCTTATTTAGGCAACATTGCATTATGCATTGCGGAGACCGCGCACGCGGTCATCAAATTTGATACATTAGTTTATCGTATAAGGGTATATTTCTCAAAACCGGATTGGCCATGTATGTTGTATGATAATGTACGCTCATGAAGAGTAGATTATCGAACATACATAGTTGGTCGAACGTATAACTCAAATGAAACCCCATCGAAGGATTTCGTTTGGAACGAAAAATGACATATGGCTGTTTACTGGAGGCTCGCCATTTAAGCCTTCTGTCTTTCTCCGGCAAGTTGGCCATCCGTCATAATTTTCTGATCTCAGATAGTTCTGCCCTCTGAGCGTTGGAACACCAGCGTCGATATAGGGTAGGTTTAAAACTAACCCAAAATACTTATATTTTGGGAGTTTGTCCTTTTACGGAATAATACCTTGAAAAATACTTCTAAAACTAGGATCGTGAAATTTTCAAATTAAATTTCTTAATAATAAAATATTATCGACGTAATTTTCAATCTTTTCTTTATACCAATATTTTGACAATTACTCCCTTAATAAGTATTCTCAAGTTATCATAAAATTTGGTAATAAATTCATTTTTCTTTGAGGATGTTACAAAAGACTTCACATTTCAGAAATTCTTCCCAAATAAGTTTGTTTAAACATTCGCAATTGTCTAACATCGCTTACGAACTTTATTTTATTTACATGTTAACATCGTTTATTAAAATTGATCATAATGATTTGACAGTAGAACAATACCGAGACTGGGTAATTAACTTATCTATGATATATAATTGGCCTAACTTAACATATCGTTATTCACGTTAGGCCATTGAGACAAATTCGACCTGTATTTTAGGGTTGACATCAACAAAAAGATTTTTCATGCGGAGGAACTTCCTCTTACATTTGAGATACGACACCTAATAATAATTTTAATTTCTAATAATAAGTTTTTTAACCTGGCACCTCATGGGTTACGACCAGGTGTCAATAAAAGAATAAGTGTATTTCACTAAATGCCATCTTTTGGTCGTCATCAGACAAATTTTGAAAAGTTTCTATCATTTCTACGTATTAAATCCATATTTGGCAAAAGGAGAAGACCTCTTGAGTCACGACCCGTAGTCATGAACCAACCCTAAATACAATTGCGCATATTTCGGGGTACGTTGACCCAATGATGTTTTTTTTAATGACGCACACTCACTCCCAAATGGGTTTCAGGCAACATGTGTCACATCCTAAAATTTTGCGGTTTGAAACCAAAACATGATTACTCAGATATGCTCTTTGCACTAAATTATATTATATCAAACATATTTATTCTAGTAGCATTTTTTTCAAAAAATAAACCTTATCTCGTAATGGTAATCAAAAGTTAAGATAAATTATACTTCACGCGTCGTATACGCTATTTGGACTTGTTTAATAACCTCTTGCTATTTATTACTGGAATATTTCACCAGAACCTGACGATTTCAGCGTGTACGTTAGATTACACACGATACAAAAATGTTAATATATTTTTAAGATTTTTCTTTAAATTATGTATTCGACTTGTAACTGAAACATACAATGCTCGTAAAACAAGTTAAGATTTTCACAAAAGAATTTTTTGTTTGCTCATTTTTGGGTTCGGTTATGGAAGGCGACATTCTTTGCTTCGCGGAACAATACATTTGAAATTGAAAATTCTCTTGATCGTCGCAATACAAGGACCCGCATAAACTTTTGACCCGTTGTGGGAGGATCTCAATTGGACAATGGTATCGCCGTAAGTGCTACTGTCCGCGCAGGGCCGCTCTCGATTTAGTTAAAGAGAGAAAAAGAGCTAAAAGTGAGACAACACTCTCTCAACTCAAGCAGCGTATCGTTGTTCCCCATACAAATAAATCTGATGTCGGCAAGATCCCAATGTATGCCTTTGAAATATAATAAAGAAATAAAGAGGGATGGCTATGAAAGAGAACGGCGAACAGGGAAAGAAAAAATGAAGCAAACGACAGCAGGTTCGCTAAAAACAAATGGTGTGACATATAGTTATGTGACTTGCCAATACGTCTAGCAGAGCAGCAGCATCTCGAAAAACACATTTTAGACTTAAAATTATACAATTTTTCTGCGAGATTGTGTAAATGCCATCAGAGAATTTAGACATAGAAAAACAGGCAGAATTTCACTGTGAAATAAAAATTAAGCAAGTTCGTAAGTTTGGTTGTATATTATATTTAGGAGAATAGATCACGAGTGGTTTGTAAAATAGCATGGATAAATGGAATTGCACATCAAATAAAGTTTATTTTATGGGAAAGGGCGTTAATCAATGGCATCTCTTGTAAGACGGTTAGTGGAAAATAAAAGAGCTTCCTCCTGTTTTGCAACCGTTCAAACAATGAATCGCTAAAGTGATCCCGATTATCTGGTAATGTTGTGCGGATTTACCGAAATTGAAATATAGTGTAAAAGCCATGGATATAAATTGCGATTCGGTCTATTCGTAGATATTTCGTGAAAACTTCGGTTGGTTGGTGAATTAACGAGGGTCGGAATTACCCTAATATCAATTATTAAGGCGTCGAAGTTGGTAAATTTTATTAAGTGTATATTTTCAATGCATACACGGTCGCTATTGCAAATTATATTTGGGAGCATATCTTTAGTTTTGTTGTGTTGTTTACGAAAAAGTGACACCAGATGTATTCAATATGGTTCAGCATAGAAAAGTGTACAAATTCGGTTAGAGTTGTACAACATATTGAAGCGATAGACATTCATTGCATGTGTTTTGTTTAAAAAATAAATTACGAACTAGTATCGTTTACTAAGTGTGACACACTACTGATACTAACATTTTCACATCTAATTTTTCATTTCTGACAGGATCTAAATGTTTGTTGCTCAAACTTTTATAAATTTTGTGTGATTTTCGAACGACTAAAAGAGGTCGTGGTACGTTACGTGCGACTGGGTTTAACGATCGACAGACCCAATTAAATTATAATGTAATTAGCATCGGGCAGCGTCACATTGTCGAACCCGTAAAATCATGTTTGATTACACGAATTAAATTTGACCGCCGTAAAATACGGTCAACGATTTTGCAAACAACTCATTTCGATGTTTACACCCGTGCCTACTATTTTTATTCGATCGTAAAATTGCTTTTTTATTGACAAACTAAATAAACTCACTAAAATCTAATAGCGAATGAAATCCACTGGCTAGATGTAGCAAGGCTAGGGCGTATTCAACATATTGTATTGTTGGAAAACCGTCTCAGAAAGAGCAAATTCATTTAAATACAAATGCCGATTTAATTTATTTATTTAGTTTTGTCCAATATTTGCCGATAGGATAGTCAAATTCATACGATTTTATAAAATGGAATAATTTATAACAGAATCTTTTAAGTAATTATTTTTAGGCGCGAAGGATATATTATTGTAGTATATAAATATTTACTGAGGCTGAACTAGGCTTGTATTAGATGTACAAACTGTACATATTCTGTAAAATATGACGTTAAATCATTTCTTTCTCGTTGATAGAGTTAAAGTTTTATTGATTTATATTGCTCTGAATAAACTCGTGGTATGAGTTCCTTTATGGAATATCCAGTCTGTACAAGCGATCCGTACACTAGTCGCCCCCCTATTGATAATATGCTTTATGGCACTCAAGACTCTATGCCTGCGTTCAACTCAGGCAAACGTCCTGGATCAAACGATGATGGTAGTGTCAGGCCTGCTTCACCAATGTATTCATGCTCCATGCAAAACTCGGTGAGCGCAAAAACGGAAGGGGAGGTTTCTCTCTGCCAACAATTGGACAGCGGTATGCAACAACCTTACAACGCACGAATAAGTCATCCTTACGAGATTCAATCACAATATTCGAGCAGAGATGTGATAGCATCCCATGCTGCAACTCCTTCACCCAATTCAACGTCACCTCCAATAAGCGAAGGTTATAGCCACTCTCCATCCCAACAAATCACAATGTCGGCAACAAGTTACCCCCAAGTTACAAACAATGCAGTTTATCCACCTTCTCTAGGAATGCCGTATCCAGCTGGTTATTCATACACAACTCAGCTAACAACAAATCCCGCGTCTTCTTCAATATATTCTTTGAATTCGAGATCAGCTTACCCCACTTCTCCGAATCAATCATCCGCCATACAAAACCCTTACTCCCAATGCAATTCAGTTATGTATTCGGGAAACTTCCACGCAGCCCCATATTCCATGCATCCTCAGTATTCATCATGCCAAATGCCAATGAACGGACATGCATCAGGTTTGGACTCCGCGGGACTTGGCTACTTGAACTGCGGAAACCCTCATCGTCGATCACCGCAGAATATCAACGAAATTAGGGAGAAGTTTGAAGCGGACTCTAATCCGAATACGGACCAAGGAAACACGTATGACTGGATGAAAATAAAAAGAAATCCACCAAAAACAAGTAAGATTTATTGTGTTAATATTTGAGAGTGTTGTTATTTAATTTTAATGCATATTTGTACCATCAATGAGATTGAACGCCGCCATTTTGTTTAAGTAAAATCATTGCGAGCCACCGGATGAATATTCATGGTCAATTTTTAATAGAAACTCCAGAATCGCCGAGATGTGTAAACCGTATATAACGTTCAAATTCTTTATTAGAAATTTGGTTGAAATAATCAAATTGCACTAATAAATCGCTTTTTCTGAAAAAAATATTGAAAAGTAGCAGCGCAAAATATTGTTGCATATATCTGAACGATAGAATATTTGGATACGAAAGGTTTTATTTGTGTGTGGGAAATGGAGATACAATTTTTGATTATAATACTATATTAGACAATATATTGAAACAAATATATATTTAGATATTATGTAAATATCCAGAACAAATTAAAAAGAAAGATATTAAGAATGAGACTAGATTTGACGCTAGATTTGAGAGTCATTTTTTCTATTTTTACTTTGAACATTAAATGCAGTAAGATGCTGAGGTTCGTTGAAACAAACGTGTGAGACTTGCTGTTACTTCTGCTATGTTTAATTAAGAAGGAAAACTAAACATTGGTTTAAACTTATCTAATGTCCACAAATAGTTGTTTAAATTACTTTATACTGAGATTACAGTTTGAATTTTAAAAGTTTCCGAACAAATAAATTAGAGTTAGATAAACAAGAGATTCAGGTTACCGGGTTTTGATCTTCGTCCCAGGTGCAAAAAAGAGGTAATGTTACATGATAAAAGATTTAATGACAATTCATCATAAAAAATATGATATACAATTAGGGGTTTTAGTGACACTGCCCAACTTGGCTTTTAACATCAGTTTATGACCCTTTTTATTCTATCATCTCAATTTATTCATTTGTATATTTGCGGTTTTTGTCGGTTCGTTTGTGTACCTATGACAACATAATCGAGACTTCAAACATAATTTTATTCAAGCCATCAGATTTCATATTACAAGATCGTGCATGTATATCTCATTTTATAGAGGTAGTCTGAATATAACATATACCACTAAATAACAACACTCTAAACTCTAAGATTAACATGGTAAATTTAAAATAAAATTATACACGCGCCTGTTGTTAATTAGCTGATTGTGACACCGTGCCTGATATGTCACATATCAGATAAGATACTGACCTTTTATCAAAAGCGAATTGAAACGCCACAACAAATAAACAATTAAATTCGACCAGCTAGCCACATTTGAAACAAGTCAATAGAAGTTGGAAAAGCAACAGAAAAGTCAAATAAACATAACGTAAATTTAAAAAAAAATCATAGTTTCCAAATATTTCGAAATTTTTGATTCATCGCACGTTCGGGAAACTTTTTTGTTGTTAATTCATTCAAGTTTTGTTTTAACTTCTGTGTACACTGAAATAAAATAGCCGCTAATGAATGTTTTATATACCATAACTCTAATAACAACAATACCTATAAAATTGCAAACTTAAAATTTTTGGCGCTACGAGGATTCATAGATTTTAGGGTATGATTCAATCTTTCAAGATATTGAGTCGGAAGATGACCTTGATCAATGACTCTAAGCTGAGAAGGAAGACTTGTGTTGTTTCCACGTGTAAACCAGTCATCAGTCATACATGTTTGCGCACCTGGATATTTCATTTTTGGTTTTTGAGGTTTCGTATCCGGTGTCGATGAAGTATTTTCAAAAAATAATGCTCATCAATAAAATTATTGCCAACTTATGAAAGTTCAATTTTCAAAAAAGATGAAATGATATTTTGCTCAAGTTGGAGGTTGTAACTTCATCTGAGGGACTTATGAACGAGCTCAAAATTAGCATGATTTTGTTCATTAATAAAGATTGTAGCTGAACGAATTAATGGAATAATTTTTTTATTGTATGTTTTTTTTATATTTCACCGAAATGACATTTGGGTATTGGTAACGATAATACGTCTTGCGATATTTATTTCCACACAAATTCGAACTTCCCCCGTGGTGTTAGGATGTAAATCTACTTGACGTAATACTACGAGATGGAATGACGTCAGTGTTGCTACTGCTACCATGAAAATACCGCGTTGCCGTATTTTCCAAACTTTTCAAATTTGAACAGATCATATACCCATCAATCAAAAGTTAGTTATTCATAATAACAAGAATATCAAAACAGATAAAATATAACAATTGTGTTTTAGGTTACCCCGACGACGTCTTTCGTATTGTATACAGAGTATTATACTTATTAACCATAATTTGTGTTCTAGCTAATTATTTAATCTGCTTAATTCTCTAATTGCAACAAATATATTTATGTTTTATTATGTTTGTCTCATAAGAGAACTTTTTGTAGTTTGCCTTCCCTTGTATGGGTAAACTCGTTGATACCCATGCGAAGTAATTGGCGTAAAACAACGTTGCGGACGTAATTGTTGTTTTTAGCATTTAAACATTTGAATTTACGTTTTCAGGGTAAATTCTTATTTTCTAGCGATTGTGGCGCCTGTAATAATCTTTCCCTACCCATTCGGTCGCCACATTTTTATCGACCATTCATGTCTGATATACTTTCGACTCGTAGGCAAATGCTCATTTCATTTTGTGGTTTACAGTCATATACTTTTGCTTCATCGTCAAAATTGTTACTTTATTTTCAACAATAGTTAGTTACTTACAGTGCGGAGTCTCGTCAATTACTAATAGTAAAGCAGTGCGTGGTTGGTTTTATGATTAATTATTCCAATTTTGCGGTTTCGTAAAATTTTTGACTGCTTGTCGGAGCGTTATGCGATGATAAACCCTATCGGTCTTTTTGTGTCGATGTTATTTTGAGTAATAGTATTTTAAACTGAAATAAACATGGCCTGTGGAAAATCTTGGTTTTCGAGAACCTAAATTTGAATTTTTCATACTTGTTCGAGTGCTCAAAATTTTCCTAGGAAAGAGAAAGTAAAATATCGGAAAATGATGAAGCGATTTCAATACCAACGGGTTACAAAAACAACACGATAAGACCCAAAATATTGTCTTTGTTTGAAAAAAAGGCATTTTTTCTATTGGAGAAATTTTGTAGGCATTCCATGACGTACCGCGGCGACAAAATCGTGGGAGGCGTCGAGTATGATAAATAGCAAAATAATAACTTTATCTATGAAGTCGGGATTGTTAAAACGCCAGTCTTAATTATCTTTTTACAACCTATTTATATGATGATATTGCATCAAATACAGGGGTAAGCGCACACGAAATTCAAACGAAATTTGCATTTACAACTTCACCCATTCACCAATGGGTGATGAGTTAACACAGAACCAATCTGAAATCCAACTATATTTTTGTTAAATACACGTTCGTTTACTCAAAAGACAGTTTGGATGAACATGAGTTTTGCTAAGAAAGAAACATGATATTTTTCATAGTATTTAACCATAACAGGTAAAACGATATTCTACTATGTGCAACTAGGACTGCATATATTAGAAAGTAAACTAGTATTAGTCATAAGACCCTAATTCATTTTGCCATCCGTTATGACAACGTTTCACAACGGGAAGGGAATTCCGCCCAGGGGAGAATTTGGTCGTTTTCGGGGAGGAAGTTTCCTTTGAATTTACTGTAGTAATGCTAATATTCTTCAGTAATTATTATTACCACAATACTGACTTATGTAGCATTATAAACTACTTAAACCGTACATAAGTCCCGCATAACACTAGCTAAGCACCTATTTGAGAATTGAGATCGAATAAATAAAGTATCGATTTCAACGAAAATGAATGTATATGTGAATTGTAAATGATATATTCCTATCTCGTTCATTGCGTGAACTTACTCCGCGGTAAGAAAGAAAATGGCCGCTCTCTTCCTAAACTACGACGATGGAGAGAAACAAAGGGAGTATATTAGGATGCGAAAAAAGTAGCACCTGAGAGCAATTAGGTTGTCGATAACGACCGCATCCGAACTATAATCCGAAGCGAAAAATGTTGATGGCACATTCGGCAGGGGTCAAAAAGTCAAAATGTTTTGTTTGAGTGCGGTTAGTAGTGCCGTTTCGTCACCGCCTACAATAATTTTCTCCCCTTAAGCGTTAAATAAATAAAACGGCAAATCGGTAAGAGCAGACTTCAGACTATCTCTATTACAGGGTGGACTGAGAATTTCACGCTCCATTCTCGCGTCCGCTGACGCCATACACTACGTTGAATCGACGTCACGGTGACATTTTTCAATATATCATTACTGGTAAAAACATCAAAAATATTTCATGCGTTACAAAAGTACATAAGTACAAATCTATATTGTATCGATCCTCTATTCATTCATGTTTCACAAATGACTGTTAAAAATGAGCAAAAATGTAAACGTTAATTGAGAATGCATTCAAATAGGTCTAGAAAGGACGCTTGTCAGTAAATGACCCCCGAACTTTTCTTTACTCTCACTTACGTATTTTTAAAACCAGGTCTAACTAACGTTACGTAACGTAACCTAACGTTTTTACAATCCTTTTTAGACTAGTTTTTTTAGTTCTGTTTTGTCATTGTAAATTTGTTTTGGAAAACTTTTTTTAAAAAGAGGTGAGAAATGTAATAAATTTACAGTTCTTCCAAATGCTCTTTATATGCTCAACAAAACAAAATTTGTTAGCCCTATAAAAATGATGAATTGTCCAAGACAGATTTAGGTTAAAAATTACCATATTTATTTGCAATATTCTGCATCCCCATTCCGCTTGATGATTTCAAGCGCATATATAATATCAGGTGAATTTATTTTTTATTACCTGTATTATAAGAATTAGGAAGGCGCCCAAAATATTTATTTGAGCAAGTCGTAAATTTTTCGTAATGCGAAACCAATAGTATTGACCAATATTTACATTTTCAGAATTAATTATATAGTTTAAATATTATGAGTATTATCAAAATTCAAAACAAATGTGTAGATGAAATCGCGGTCACAAATATCAATGGACGTTATATTGTTTAATCGCAGAATGAAAATCAAAATATTTTTTTCTTTTTCGTGCTTTGAAGCGCCATATTGTACCCCTCAATTTATAATCTCCAACGTTCTATATGCGCCCAAGTATGCTCCCAGAGTTAGCAGAGTTGCAACAAATAGATAAAAATCTTTTCACTTTTTCTGACTAGTTTAATTTCGACCCTCATGCCTAAGACACCTCGAAACGTCCATCTAAAAGGGGTCGTGAACTATTTACAGTTTGTCTTGTTGCTCGATACGAAAACCTGTTGAGTGGCAAATACCATGAAGCGTGAATTTTTATTGGGATATTTAAATTGGTTGTCGCTTGGCTACTTTGTCAAAAATCCGTAAAATAGGTTTCGATTTGTGTATAATTCACAAATGAAAATATCGTTTTTAATTTAAAGTAGCAATCTTATGCGCTAACCGTTCGTCAGCTCAATACAAAACATAGGCAAAGTTTTTGTCTTGGCGGCACACGTATTTTAACATGGCGCCAATATTTGGAGAAAGGGAAAAATATATACCCTGGGAGCTCAATAGCTGATATATATAGTTTTGTTTTTGCAACACATAATATTGCATTTGCTACAAAAATAGCGAGATGTGAGCATATTGAATTATGGTCAACAAATGCTTATAGACTAGACAGACATAAAACAATTTATAATTGTATACCGTAAACGCCATTTTAATCCAATTGTCGAAAATTAGGTAGAGCATGAACCCAAAATTATATCATCAATATAATGACCGCAAACCACTTGACTTGCTTGCTTCAATGAAAAAAAGTTATATTAATTGCAAATAAAAATTGTCTTATTATGTAATACTGTCACTAAATGCATCTGCACGTAGATGAATGAACAGCGAATGTGCTTTTGTTGACTCTTTTGGTTTTAATACCTTGAGGTATTTCCCGGTGACTATCGAGTGTAAACAGCTCACTTTGTTAAAATGTGCGAAGCAGCCGTCTGAAACTTTCAAAACAATGGACATCTTGAAGTGAAATGCCTTACCTGTTGGTTCACAGGAATGTCATCTGATAATTTTCTGTAAAATCCTAAGAAACGTTAAAATAACGATACGTTAAGCCCCAAAATGGTGTTTGTGTTTTTATTTTGAAATCCATTTGGACACAAGTGGATAATGTCTCAATGTTCGTAAACTTTCTAAGAAATCGAAAAATGATTTTGTGGGGACGGAGTAAATTGACATAAGACAAGTCACAGTTGGTCGTAGTAATTGTACGTTTTTTGACCGATTCGCTTGCTGGACGTTGATCTCAATTTTCGCGGATTATGTTTGCAGCTTACCAAATTAAAAGGCAGTCTGTATTATCAATCTATCACAGATTACCATCTACTACGATGGGCCTTCAATCAACATGGGCATTAAAACTTCCACTGCATAATTACTCTTTTATTAGAATTTTTTAGAAAAATTTGATAAAAGCAAGATTAGACACTTTGCAACAAAAAACTGACAGCAATAAAAATATAATTATAATTTGTAATGTTGTGTCGCATACAATATTTATTGGATCGATTCATTTTTTTGCACTGAATTTGCCTATAAGGAAGGGTCTTTAAATAACTATTAATTATTAGTTAAAGTCGATAATTCCTGAAAAATTTGATTTTCTCGATTTTGTTTTTACGATTGAATTTTCTATGCCTTTCACGATATACAACCTATATTAGCTTTATTAGTTATATAGTATAACTTGTCAGTATTCAGTATCAAAAAAGCATTAGTATATAACTAATTAAAATACATTGTGGTAAATTACGGGACAAATATGATATAAATTTATGGACCTAAATATTTTAATATCGACTTCTTTTATTAATTTGATTGACTAATAAAACAAATCTGTTTGCCCAGTTCGCAATTTTGTCCACCAACCCCCGTCCTTATTCAACTGTTAATTAATTTTAACAACAAATAATAATGATAATAACTGCATTGGTGTCATCGCGTCATTATTATTAATCACATACGATATATGAGCATCGATTGACTTCGGGTCATGATGAGACGACGTTTGGCGATATACTTTTACATATAGATGTATAAGAAACCGTGTTCATTCTGGGATTTTTTCTATAACAAAAATGAACAGTTGTATGTAATAACTTTACTACAATGAATGATGGAACGATATTCACTACACTTTATCCTTTACTGCGATTTTTTCATGGATTTATTTACAAAATCTGTATTATTCTGTTCAGCATATTACAACCATGGAAAGATTGATGCTTATGGATATGCGGGGCAAGTTGGAAACGGAAGGACAAATTTTACCACAAAGCAGCTCACTGAACTCGAAAAAGAATTTCACTTCAATAAATATCTTACAAGAGCTAGAAGAGTAGAAATAGCTGCTGCTCTCATGCTCAACGAAACACAGGTAAATTAGAGTAAATTTATCTTGTAGTATGAAAACTCACAAATATATGAAACGTGAAATATATTTTTAATTAATGATTTGCATATATTAATTAAGTAAAACAAAACCATTCTATGTCTGCAGGTAAAAATATGGTTTCAAAACCGCAGAATGAAGCAAAAGAAGAGAGACAAAGAAGCAGAAAAATTAATGAAAGCATCAGGATTACCGGTTCCCGTTAAAACCTCCACTGAGGAATTCGTATCAAATGGAAACAACAATAACAATAATAAAAAGAATTTGTCGACAGACAAAACAGAAGTATTGGACGTGGCATACAAAGTGGAAAAAGGGTGACGCGTATGGCACCGCATACCCATCTCCCGCGCAAAAATCCCAACAATCTCCTTCCGACGCCGCCAGATTTTCACCGTCCTCCGGCTCTAATGCCTCATCTTCACCAGAACAATCCTCCCGCGTGCAGTCAACGTAAGTTTAACGCATCTGTATGGTGGCGCACAAGATCACTCGATTTCCGAAGCTAACACCCTAACAGACATCAGTTCTCCCATGAGGATGCCGGACCGCGGTTACAGCAGCAATATGCTCACAACAACTTTATAACAAAGTAATTACTCTACGCGGTTATTTTTCATGCTTGAAAACTGAAGATGTAGAAACAAGAAATGATCTTCACATAAAGCAAAGTTCACTGTCCATGACGACATACTATATCAGTTTATTTTACAACTGCAAGAGAAGCATATATTTCAGAATGATGGGGAGTAGAGAATAAGTAAACAAGTGAAGTAACGGCGTGTTATGTCGTTTTCTGATGGCAAAAATAATATTATATATTAAAAAATATATTATTTACCTTGAATATACAAAATTCGAATCAACTGAAAATATAGTAGTGATTTTAAATGATCAACATAACAATACAAAAATTTACTCACATGTGAATCTTGGTAATTATTATTTCTATAAATCTTTGAAATGTTTTGTGTATTTTTCGGTTCTATATAACAAAAGTATCTGGAACGTATTTTAAAATGAAAATCAAATCAAACTAAAACTATATTATTAAACTTGGAATCCTAACTTTATGTCTCTGTAATTCATAAAATTGAATAACGTATGTAATAAATTGTTAAAAATGAACAAGAATAAATTTTCAACGCGCATTAAATACAAAATAATGTTTGATTTTTATTTTTTTTTCTTCTTGTTTTGTATTTTACTTACCTTTGAGTCATATTTGCTATTACTTCTTGTTACATTTTGACATCTTTGTAATGAATTTTTCCACGTGCACGATGAAAAAATATTTCGTAGTTGGTCAAGAAATACTCAATTTTAATCTTCTATACAACGTGTCTGTTATGTCTTATACATTTTGTTTGGATAAATAAACACATATGATAAATCATTTAAACCAGAGTATCTTAAATTTTCACGTTATCTGTCGAGCAGTATTGAGATTCCTGGGCGTGCCACTATGTCACAGTTTTAAAATCCTAGTTTACTTATCAATGCATTCCACTGGAGATATAAATTGTGGAATTGCAAAATACCTTCTTTATTAAAATCATAAACATAAAAAAGATGAAAATTTCCATGAAAGAAGCCTGAACCACTTCCAACCTTCATGCTTATGATAAAATCAAGATCACTTTTAATAGGTCACAATTCTTTTTCCATTGAATGAAAAAGTAGTAAGTGTGTCTATATTTGAAGCAAGAAAAAGACCAAAAATTTATATTTCAAAATGCTTCAATTAGGTCCAAAAGATGAAATAGTCTAATTTTATAATATTGAGTATAATAGCTATAACGATGGGTGCTACCACCCGTTAGGGTCAAAGTTCTCATTCATTTACAATATAATACCCATAATCTCGAAACGCATTTGCGTCGATATGTGTTGCTCTGTGGATTTCAACATAGCTCATCAACTTTTACAGCGGATATAGAATCGATTTATTTTTTGTATCAGAATAATATCACTGCAGTAATATGATCGATTAAAACTTGATTTCACTTTAGTTTTGTCATAGGTTAATAATCACCAGTTTTATTTATTCGCATGATTCTTTTTCTTTAAATCGATACTACTGCAGAAAAAAGAGCAATAACATATGAATCTCGTGATTGCATATTTTCAATTTGAGCTTTGGAATTATTCAGTAACCCCGCGAATCTCCAATATATGCTTGGATACATGCTTCCATTTATGTTTTCTTATTTTGACGCTTACTATTTAGTTTTCTACTATTTTTAAAAACTTCTTCAACAAAAATCGAACGCTATTCGGAAACGGCCTTTGAGGACTATGCAATGATAACTTATTCTAGAACTCGTAATCACTGCCTGTTGACAAGTAGAGTATTAAACTTTTATATATTGTTTTATAAGTAATTCTAGATCCTCGTTGCGTAGTTTCATAAAGATTGAAAGAATTATGTTATGTTAAACAGAAATGCATATTCAAATGAAGCCCAGACAAGTAGGCAATCAACCCGTTTTATGGAACGAAGGTACCGGTACTGGCAATAGGCTTTAAAGAAACGGAAAAGCTGTGGTCAAGAGTTCAAGATAACAAATATTAATTAACCTAAAAAAATACTGGGTACGAAATGAACCTATGGATCGTTTTGTCATTATGCTATTTTTGTTGTTCTTATTATTAGAATTTTCTTTCTATCGTTATGAAAAAATATCGCTTCTCTCTTCAATTAATGTACCGCTTTGCAATTTTCAGTTGTCAAAGATTTTTATTTTTCGCTAGAAAGCTATTACTTTTATTTGTTCCCAAATTTTCTGCGAGATCTGATCTTTCATTTAAAATGCGCTGTATAGTTTTAAATTATGGGAACACGTTTTTATGAAATCGGACAGCTGATACCGGTAGGCCATTGTGTTTTGGATTTCGTGTCCATATATTTGTGTATCGCATTCTTGTCTTCTTATGTTCATATTGCATTTGCCGATGTCACGCGTTCAAATAGATGTTACATTTGAAAATCCGGTAATAATGTTATAACCATGGAAATTTGCGAAATTTTGTCCGTTCTCCGAGTTGTTTGTATTGTGGAGATTATATCTGTCTACATATGACTTGTCGATTGATTGAGATTACTCGTACAGAGTTACCCAGGATTGATTGCCAAGAATTTTGTCCCAAATTCGTGAACCCAAGTTTTGACTTGAAGATTGCCACAGGCAGTACAGAATAGTCCAACTTATGAGCTTTATTGCAGTTTCCGATAATATATACAAAATACAATTTATACACTCTTAGACCTATTCTATACTAAGTTGGGAAGATACCAAAATATATAGCTTTTTCAAAGTCTATGAATATAAGAAATAAATAGCAAATAAAAGATTTTCAAGTCACAGGCATTTTCTGGCAGTTTCGGTTTTGCGATAATTGAACATCATTAAAAGTGGTTTCTCAAAAACTTATTACGTGTAATCGCTAGTTGTAACGGTAGGAAAGTATTTTGATCACGTTTCAATCGAAGTCGTGGAAATTAAAATTCTTTAAGTGGGTAACACGTCTTGGACAAAATATATTTATTTAAAGGGGTGGAATAAAACTGGAAATAAAATTTGAATTTTGAAATGGCTGGTACCAAAAACATATTATCTTTTAAAATTGGATTTAACAAAATACGTAATTGCAATTGTAGGATTGATCTATTTGGTTTTCACTATTTTCACTCTAATTGGGTTACTTGGGGGGTTCGAATGAACAAAGTAGCTACATTATTTTCCCGTCATGACTTCGGAGAAGTTGAAAGATATATCTTGTACTGAGACAGTAAAAATGACGTGTTGTCTTCATGAAATTCGACTGAAAAATAAAAATAAATATTTAATATTGTATAAATATATATTGATAATAATGCACAAGAATTTATTACAGTATGCACAATATAATCACCGACTAGTCTGCCAGACTTGGATAGATGTTCGAATCGTTATTGGGCCGTAATATAGGCCAATAAATATCCCTGAACTTGTTTATTGGTTTGCTTGAGAGGTTGGAGTGGTTCATCAGGATTCATTTGTTCCCCTGAGCAACAAGTATTTCCGAAGCCCTCGTATTCTAGGAATTGCACTGCTGCTCAGTTTGGGGGAAAGTCCTTAGATAAAATATACTGTAGTGTTTATTAATAATGCATATATAAAGCAATCACGCAAATTAACTCAAAAGTCCATTAGAGTAGAACCAGCGGTAGACAAGTTAGCGCGACCAACTTCACTATTCGAATGTCCTTCAAGAATATACGCGACGCAAATTGCTTGACAATGACATCATAGCTCTTGATCAACATATAGTGGCAATTCACCAACACAACACATACGGTGCCAAACTGAGAGATAAATGGAAAATAATTATATAAATACCTGATAATATTGACGTCTTAGTTAAAGAGAGGGCATAGAATAGACAAAAGTGTCTTTCACTTCATGTGATATAGCACCAGTATCAGTTTTCTGATGTACTATCTGGGTTAGATAGGGTTTGCTCACTCAATATCGTTCTCGAATGATACCTTTGTGCCATGACTGTTTCATTGCTATTTTCAATAAAGTGCACTGAAGGCCAGATAGAATATTCACCTGTATAAAAAGGTTCCTAAGAATAGTAAAGTTAAGCAAACGTTTAGCGGTTTTCTATCATCTGCAAAACGATATCGAGGAGAGTGGATGAGCTCTCTGTTAATGTTCTCATCAAGAAATAGCAACTGAATCAAGAAATATCAGATGCGCAATTTAGAAGCCTTGTAGTGGATAGGTTTACTGATACTTTCAATAATATTTTGTGGCTTGGTTATATTCCTGGCGTTTCTGTTGGGCCTTGAAACCTTTTTCATTTTACTATATGGGCCTCGCTTAAAAAACTTTGCCGACCACATGCTAAGACTTTCCAAAACTTTGACAATCTATCCATAATTGGAGCTCAGATATTAATTATTTGGAATGCGGAATTAAAAGTATTTTAACTACTAATATCATACTCTTGCCTAAACTATAACCCGGTAAGATATTAAGTCAGATACGAGATAAGAACAGAGCAGCTATCACAGTAGGTGGACCAAAATAGAATGCCAAAGTATTAATATGGGGTTTGTCTGGTAACAGTTGCTCAGCGGTTTTGAGCATACATTGTTTGATAAATTCCATCTCTGAAAAAGTTTTTGCGTGTTTTGTTATTTCTCAAGAAATGTTTTTGTAAATGTTCAAACTTTTTCTTTCGCGCATCCGTGCCACAAGACTATTTTTCGTCCTATTTTTGTGGTTAGTTGAAAAAGGACGTTCTAGTTTTCCACCCCTTTTTTCGATATATTCTTATTACAGATAACACAAATGCAGCATCCATTCTCACTATATGTAAAGCAGTATTTCTATACTCATTCTTTATTGAATTTTTGTTGAACTTCCCTCTTTTTATATGGTTGTCATGAGTTCATAATTAAATCTAGTGCTGACGTACTGGTACAGTGGTGGTACAAAGATTGAATCACCAAAAATAGCTGTTCAAGTTGTTCCTTAGCGTGCGCAATTACTATAGTTGAATTGAACGCCATATATGATCGTTAGTTTTA